TTTAAATCTAAGTCACCTGCCAACGACCAGGAAAGCAAGTCAACTTTACAACTGGGACTAAAGGTTAGATATTCTTGTACTCATGGCTGCAGCTTCATCTCAGTATGTGCTCATTTCATGGGTTATCAGAAGCTAAGAAAATATGTGTTGTGGCCATTTCTCACCTCACAATTCAATGCACAGAACAACAAGAATTTTTTTTTTATTTGGCTGTAAAGCTGTTATAAAAAAGATTTGAAAAATAAAGCTCCAAAAATTGCCCATTTGGCATGTTGCTTTTTTTTTTTTTTAAACTTAACACCTGTTTTCAAATTTCAGCTGCAGAAAAGCTGTGTAAGCTGTGAGGAAGGTGCTCAGAGGTTACTCCCAACATCGAGCTCCCCTAGTGGCTGCTTCCCTCCCACCGTCCCCGTGGACAGAAACACCTCGGTTGGGATTTTCCCCATTCATGACCAGAAGGAAGTAACTGCAAAAGGGATGTGGATTACAATCCAAGAAGGAAAAAAAAATTATGCTCACTCCCACCTGGGACTTTTGGAATGAGAAACTGTTGGGTTATTCAAGGAGAAATTAAAAGACCTAAAAGAGAAATGTAAGGGTTTCTCTGTAAACCTGTAATCAGACACTACATATTGCCCTGATGAAGATATAAGGAAACCTGTGGGAAATTCTGCTTTAAAGTTTGGTTCAACATCAAATACACAACAAAGCCTAGATAACAATGTCTTATGAATCATTCTGCCTACAAAAATTTTTGCATGTATGATGAAAGACTCTATTGACCATATCCAAGACAATGATTAGCATTAATCCACTTGCAAATGGATATAAAAACTGCAAAATCAATGCACAGTTATTCTGGAAAGCAAATATTTTCTACTTCTCCATACACACAGAATGTTCTTTTTCTTGTAGCAGAAATGCTTACAGACTAATGCCAGACTAAGGGCACAGCAAAGCAATACCAGGTTTCAGCTGCACGGCACCCTGAATTTTGCTGTCAAACCAAAATGTGTGGAAAACTACGAGCTTAATTTTTCTTGTTGGTGCCCGAGTTTTGGGGTTTTCAGAAGAAAATGCCAAGGAAAAAAGAACTTGTTCTGCTTGTCATTATATAGTTGCCAGATAGCCAGTAATTCTGAACTGAAATTTCCAAGTTGATTTTCAAGATAGGTATTGCAATACCATGAGAATGGGCAACAGGGATGTGCACCAATTCCTATAATGAAAATGGGTTAACACTGCCATGAAGGAGGCTGGGGTATATAAAACAATCAAACAAAACTTCAGGTGAAAATCCTGCCCGAGTGCCCTTCTATTTACATCAGTTTTACTCTAGTACAACCTTTGTTTTCACTGAAGTTATTCATGATCTACTTCTTTGGCAATGATTGCTGTGATCCCAAATTTCTTGGGAAGCGCCACAGGTGCAAAGAGGCTACAGGAATGAAGGTTTCATGCTCCAAAAATAGATAATTTATTTTTAAAATTATACATTAAGCATGAGGACAAATGTTGGCTATTAAGGATGATAAATAGCTAAGATCCACTTAAAAGTCACACAGCATTTACATTTGTAGTTTTCTGTATTTTGAGGTTCATCAACCAAAATATATCAGTGCAAGAAAAATCTGGAAAGATCAAATGGCCAATGAGCAACCTCTCTTGTGCAGTCTGAACCCTTCCTTAGCTTTATGCAGAGCCCGCAGCCATCAGCAAATCCAGATTTCATAAAAAAAGAAGACAAATAGTGTCTGATTCTCAAAGAGCTTGTCTGGGGGTTGGGTGCATCCATCAGTGCCCCTCTGCAGCCCAGGCTGCATGGGGATGGCCCAGGACAGTGCTGGCAATGGCCCCATCCATGCCACCACAGCGGGAGCTTCCATGGGTTTGGCAGAGCCCCTGGAAGAGCCTGTGTGTCAGCAAGGAGCGCGGGGCCATGGGGCTGTGCTGGCTGCTTGCACTGGGGCTCAGTGTGGTCCATCGTGGATGCTCCACCACGGTGGGACTGTGGTGTGGATAAAGGTCTGGATGACCCAGGGACCCCAGCAGGGCTTGGGGGCTGCTGAGGAGCCCGGTGGCAGCTCCACAATGGACCTGGCGCTGTGGGCAGGGCAGGGAGCGGAGCCATTCCGCTTAGGGGCCTCCCTCAGGGGCCTCCCCGGCACCCTCACGCCGGGCAGCCCTGCGGGACCCCGGGGCCCATGGGGACCGCAGGGCTGAGGGCTCTGGACCCTCCAAAGAAGGCGTCGGTGCCGGCCGGGGGCTGCTGCAGCTCTGGGGTGTTTGCTGTGGGGCGGGCAGGGCTCCCCGGCAGCCCGGGGCCGGGCCGGGCCGGGGGCAGGGCCGGGACCCCCGCCCCCCGCGCTGCCGGGAGAGCGGAGCGGGGGCTTGGGGGCTGTTGTTCTCCCAGAAGCCGTGGCATTCAAATAATAATTAAAAAGAAAAGAAGGAAAGCTCCTGGCGGGGAGGAGAGGCAGGGCGCATCCCGGAGGCTCGGCGGGGCGGGCGGGAGCGCCGGGCCGGTTCCCCGGCTTCCCCCGGTGTCCCCCGGGCAGCCCCGGCTCCCCCCGCCCGGCTCCCGGCGGGGCCGGCAGCTCCAGCCTGCGCTGAGGCTGAGCAGAGCCTCCCCGCTCCCCCAGCTCTGCTTTCTTTCACATCTAATTTGATAGGAGGGGGATTTCGAGCTTCCCACAGTTACAACTTTTCTTGATTTCTCCCTTCCCCCCCCCCGCGCATTTATTACTTGCATTTAATTAATTCCTTCTTTGCGTTTCCTTCCCTGTTAATCTTTGGGTGACTGCTTTGTACATATGGCAATCTGATAATGAGGGAGTTTGTCCTTATTCTCTAGACTTCTTCACTGCGATGTCCACCCATCTAGTGCCTGGGATATCGATCTTCTTTCCATGGGGAGGGGGACAAGGTAAGAGGGGTGATAAAAGTTTTGCAGTATTCCACACCATTAAGAATAGCTTTTATTCCTTGGCGCTGTTTAATCAACTGTTATATCAAGTCATGCTGTTTAGGCAACCACATCAAAAGAACATACCCTCTTTTGTATAAATTATATATTCCTTGTATCTGTCTTCTCGCATGCACGCAGACGGGGAGATAAAACTTAAGTTTGTTTTTTAATAGCATGAAGCAGGTATTTAGCTGTTATACAACTTGTTTCTGCAACTAAGTTGGTTGATAACAACCTAGGAGCCAAGCTGCCGACTTTCAAACTTTTTACCCATTTCCAAGTTAAAACTCCTCAATTTAAAGGTCGGAAAGAGAAATCGATGATTCACTGAAACTCCACAAAGAAACATAAATAGCAGAAGAAAAGCATGGGCTGAAAAAGATGAAAGAGCACCAGTTAGAGTCGGCGTGAGACCACTTCGGACCACTTCTTTCGCCTCTTTTCTAAAGTTTACCTGAAAAGACCACTTTGTCCCTTTAAATGTCCGTGCTGACCTGCTTGTTGCAGTTTACTGATATACAACTTTTTTACCACTTAAAAATTGATTTTAAAATCCATTTTCAAGGTTTAAGTTGATAACTACTCAGCTCAATGTCACAGACCGGAAAACTCCCACATAGTTGTTCACCCCAAAGAGCTCTTTTTATTTCTTTTTTTCCTTTTTCTGTCTCTTTTTCTTTTTTAAACCCCATAACTTAAATAAAGTTTCTAATTTTTTTGGATGTGTTTTATTTTTCTGAGAAAGTGGACTTTGAATTACTTTATCACACCGTCCTGGAATTTTTAAGAACTCCTAAAAAACTCCTGAAACTTTCTAGACCCTAGGACAAATTGTATTTTCTTAGGAGCAAAAGCAAATGAGCACTTTGCAGGCAGAGAAGTGTTTGTTCATATGGAACTCTACAGTTCTGTCTAACCTGCTCTATCAGGCTCATCTCTGCAATTTTGCTCGTCTCTCAACACCTTTGTCTGATTAGTAGCTTTTGGAGTTCGGGATAAAGACATCACTTGCCACGCTGCATGAGATAACAATTAATTTAACATTAAACTTATCCCCTTTCCATTCACTTTGCTTGGATCGATCTCTGTTAATTGTGTTTGCGGATGCTTTCAACACTATGCTTTTCTTAAAAACTTAATGACACCCCGCAAGGAGGTGTAAGAGTCTAAAACGCTCCTCTCCGACTTTGACCAAAGAAACAAAGAATATAGCCCCAGCGTGCTCAGGAGACCATCTATTTTTAATCAGTTGACTATTCGTGCACTTCCGAAGATACAACGTTATTTTAAACTGGGTGATAGTCCTGATTTTATTAAAGAAAAAAAAAAAAAGTGCCACATTGCAGTTGTGTGACACACAAGGCAGACACACTAACTTCATTGAACTGCCGCTTCGCATCAGACCTGTTTCTGCTGTTAAAGTGGTCATTTATCAGCTAAAAGGCGAGTGTGTTTAAAAATGTATGTCTTTGGGAGGGAGAGCAATCTCCCTTTTCAGGGGCAAGAAACCTGTTACAAAGCCATTTAGGTGGGTGCGCTCTGAAATGGCATTATTCCCCCCCGGGGCGTTAATATTACCAAGTATGTTCCTATTTGCACGGCTCCCCGATAATTCGGCATTTTATTTAACCACAACTGCCCTTAGAAACTTGATTTGCACTGAAGCAGCCTGTTAATCTTAATTTTTTCCCCTCTTTCAGAGAGGCATCTGTTCCTCTTGCTGACAAATGTACCATTCTGCCAAGAAAGTTTTTGGAGGAAAAAAAAAATCAGAAGAAGAAAAAAAATGAAAGAAAAAAGAAAAAAAAAAAAGCATGTAATTGATGTTATCCCAAGAAAGCGCGATCTCCACCCCTCTCAGCTCCAAGCCCTTCAGGTAAAAGGAAAAAAAAATCTTTCAAGAATTTGTTGCCTTTTTGAGGGTTAAAACATCAGAAGACAAGCTTGTCTCGCCTTGGCCAATCAGCTCTCGGCCCTGGCAGCTATAATATAGAACTAAAGGCAGACTCCTCTCACAAGCGTCTTGCTTTGCTACCATTAAAATCAGACCCTTTTTTTGTCTCTCGATTGCTGTCTCCCGACCAAACTCCGATGTGTTCCGTTATCAGCGACCTAAAGCCTGCCATTCCAGCACCTGTCTTGCTAGGGATCGGTGGATAGTATACGATTCAGAAAGCAGACAAGGACATAGGAGGAGAGAGAGCTCTAGAGAGACAGCCAGGGATAGGCACAGAGAGCTTTGAAGTAATTGGATTCAATGGACGAAATGCTGCTGTTGACAAGAATTCTCTTGGTGGGCTTCATCTGCGCTCTTTTAGTCTCCTCTGGGCTGACTTGTGGACCAGGCAGGGGCATTGGAAAAAGGAGACACCCCAAAAAGCTGACCCCTTTAGCCTATAAGCAGTTTATTCCCAATGTGGCAGAGAAGACCCTAGGGGCCAGTGGAAGATATGAAGGGAAGATCACAAGAAACTCCGAGAGATTTAAAGAACTAACCCCAAATTACAACCCTGACATTATTTTTAAGGATGAAGAGAACACGGGAGCTGACAGACTGATGACTCAGGTAGAGCCACAGAGATACCTGTATTTGTGTTTGTTAACCTCTCTGAGCAATCCTAAAGGACGCATCTGTCTTAGTATTTTTGAAAGCCCCCCCCTTTCCCTCTCCCCCTCCTCCCCCCGCCCCTCCAAACTCGACTAGTTTCCCCATTGAATGTAAATACCATCTATCCGGCCAAGTTAGCAGGGGCTGGAGCTGTTTAGATATTTGGTGGGGGAATCTGTGTGATACTTACAGTCATTACCGTGCCATGGCGTTCCCTGTAACTTGGTTAGCGATTGCTGTTTGCATTTGTCCCCAAGGATGCACTTTGATCAAACGAATTGCATACAGCTCAGAGGACCCCAAGTGTATAGTGACCGCCAGGCCACCCACTCATTATTACAAACGTAGTCCGCGGTTGCTGCGCCTGCTGACTTGATTTTTTTCTCTATATATTTTATTTAATTTCTCTTTATTTTTGTTTTAATTTCATTTTAACCTTCATTATTATTATTGTTCTCCTCGCGAGCATATTCTAAATTTAGTAGGCATGCAGTCGTGCACTCACAAAAGGCAGCTGAAGCCGGATCGACCATTCCTCATCTGATTCCGTATTATATAGCTCGTATTGCAATACCATCATTTGCAATTGTGCCCATCAGAGCGTAAATATATTGATATTTCTTTAAGGATGCTCGCCGCCAATGCTTTGGTACTTCCATAGGGGAGGGACTTGCAACTTATCGGCATTGCATCACCTTCTGTTTTAAAAAATCTGATGGCACAAGGTTTACAACTGGGTAAATATTGGATTTCGGGTGGAATCGGATTGCGGAACTATTTTATGAAAAAAAAAAAAGAAAGAAAGAAAGAAAAATATAAAGGTGGCAGAAAGAGAGAGAGAAAGAGAACCGCTCCGAGAGTCACCTCGTAATTATAATTCATGCTCAACAGAGAGCTCGGTGAAATCAATTGCTCTGCCAATCCCGGAGTTTCAGAAACTACATGCAATCTAGACACTGGAAATGGGTTTCCTCCAAATATAGGTCAACAGCGCTTTTTTAATATTAATACATTTAAGCCCCACCTTCAGTGCTAGAGCAGGACTCGCCTGGAAGGACTAGGCGGGGAGTGGACGCGGCGAAGGGGGGGTGGGGGGTGGAATTTCCCAAACTCTCCCCGTTCCTCGGCCTGATTTTCCGCACGTTGCCGGGTCTCCCGGGGCGAGGGACCGGCGGCCGCCACCATCTCCTCCCGACCACCTTAAATCGCACCGCACCTCGGAGCGCGGCGGCGCCTCCGCCCGCCGCCG